AGGTGCTTCACTTTAGCTAAATTGCAGGCTTTTTTTGAGCGCCCATCTCCTTCTGACGAGAGGAAGCTGGTTGTAATAAAATTGCACTTCCAAAGAAATTCGCAGATTGATGAAGGTTGCTTCCAAGAAGGAAATGTTTTCTTCTGGGAGTTCAATTTACTTCCACCTTCTCACCCACGGGTAAAAAAAAGTTTTCAGGGTGTTTGCGTGCTAATGATTAGTTAGTGTTCGAAATAAAGCTAAATTTAAAGTGGACTGATTTACGGTAAAATTATTAACTAACAATGCCAAAACCTGTGCTTTATGTCGAAATAGGTGCTTAACTTTTTTTGAGTTAAGGATTAAAACTATGTGTGCAGTTCAGATGTCTTATATCCTTCATTTCGCGTCTCTTTCATCCTAGTTTGAGTTTATTTGACTTTAGAAGTTTATGTTCTGAATGTTTTATTAGGGCAAAACTTCAAGGTCAACGGTAATTACCTCAATTTCCAAATACTCCCGCGACGTTTCAAGTTATTATGGAATTATTGCAGCAAAAACATTTACTGATAGTGCAGCATTTGCCACTTGAATTTTCTCACATCATGAATCGCCGTCAATGTAAATTGCATCTCGCTTCCCCCTTTTCCAGGGTGAATACAGTTGAAATAGATCAACAGCAAAAGGGGATCGTGCCGTTGCTGCCAGATCTAATAAATTGCGGATTGAAACTAGAGATCATATGTTGTGTAGAGACAGGTATGATGTTACTGGCTCCCATTGCATACCAAAGTTCGCCAGACAGGTGCCAATCTCACAAAAATGTTTCTATAATCTTGCCAACCACTTCCTTCCCAGAATTATGAAACGTCAGGCAGAATTAATTTCTACGATCGATTCGCCATTTATCATAGCTACTATCTACTATTCTCTAGATCTTTATTCTCTTAATATGATCAATTTATGGCTCTTCAATGATGAAGTTCTCATAAATTAAACAGAGTATCAGAGGTTCTCTAGCAAGAACAAAATTTCTTTTGAAGTTCTTTCTTCCACTGCTTTTTGCAGCACTGACAAGCACACATTCATCTTCTGCATATTTTATGATACAGAAAGAGTGAGTATTAAAATTTGATCTAAAGTTCTTCGTAGTACAAATCAGTGATAAATCAAAGTTTTATATAAATTTACTTAGTTGTTAGATATATTTGCACATGACGTAACCCTAGTTATTTATTTACATACTACATTTCTTATTGTTGATGTTACTGCTCGAAAATCTTTCGTTTTGAGTGAATAACTAGCAGAAATTATCTACTGTCGCTAGATTAGCATCTGGTCTCACTTATCTCGTACTTGTCCCTCGTTTCCAGAATTCCTTCCGCCAACCAATAAGATTATCCGATTAATTCGCGCGTGTCCCACAAAGCCCACTTAAAACGTCCCAACTGTAGAAATCACCCTTCCTCAACCGTTCGTGATGTCCTTGCTCGTTGTTCCTCAATTCTTGCGTCGTCCCTTTTTATCAAAGTCTCGCGCCTTAGCTGAATCTCGTTTTATGCGCATTTAACGACGTCTACCCGCCCTCCCATCCAAATTATTTCTTTGTGCTTTGTCGTACTGATTTCACCCCATACCTCTCTGTATTTCAGTTGTCCACCTTCCGATGCTATGCCGCCTACGTCATTGACCTCACAGCGGTTTTCTGAAGAGGTTGGTTTTTTTAACCCTATCAATTCTGAAATAACTCTTATATCATCTTATGTCACTGGCCTTCTATCAAATGTGCTGTATCCTGGTTTTCGTATATAAAATAACGTTCAAGTTGTCCAGCTTACAAACGCTTAACCAAACTTTTTC